TTTTTGATTGAAATTATTTTTTTTTGATTGAAGATGCTTTTTGTTTGATTGAATAATAAAAACACAAATTTACCTCCATACATTTTAAGAAGCAAAAAATGAGCAAGACTTTTCCTTAGAAAAATATCTGCTAACCTGACTGAGCAATTCCTTTCTGCAGTTCTACAAACGACAGATGTAAAAATCAAACAGATATACAGGATAAGGAGCCATGCTGACGTTACCGTCCCTTCAGTGAGACAAGCTTTCTGTGTGCATTAACATCAAGACCACACCAAACTCCAGCGCAGTACACACAAACACACACACTCTTCATACTTCTGCTTTTGGCATGCGCCTTTCACCAATCACAGCTTATCCAGGGAGTGATTACGGTAATTCTAATTATCTACAAAGAGGAGAGTGAAATCCCTCGTCATGCTCGCTGTGAGGAGAGAGGGGGGAAAAATAATCAGGTAGACCTATTTCAGCGCAATTTCCCACTGCAATCTCAATTAAGGCCCTAAATGCTTCCTCTGTGGCTAATTAAATCAACTGAAATGCCATTGTTTACAGGCCGTGGCTGCAGCCCCCACCCACCACCTGACATGACCAAACACAATTACTTTCACAAAACGAAACGGCGTTTCAGTACGGCAAACCGATGCCTGTAACACGATCGTCAGCTCGATCAAATTGGTTATCAAGGAAACCGTCTCCTGATCAATTTAAGTAATTGACATATTCCTGCAACTTGACCCCAGAGGCACCAATTAGGAGAGTGAGGCGGTCTGCTTTTTCTCACTGTTCATTGGCTCTAATGGAGATGGTTCAGCAGCCTGTCATGTCAGGTGTTGTTCAGACTTGTCTTCCCTCTCAGGGCTGAGCTCAGGCTAACCTGCTGCTGGAACACTGACTGACAGCTCAGTGTTGGCACCGCAGGGTGTCTTCACATTGTCCCATGTTCAAACTACACTTTTTAAAAACAAAACTCACTTTACCTCCTACAACGAAACAACAAAAAAAGTCTGTAGTTTTTAGAAATGTTTCTGACTGACCAGACTTAGCTTAGTAAGGAGCAGAAAATAGATGCTCCATTTTTTAAATAATGATTTAATCTGTTGCTCAGAGGCAGTGGTGGGCAGCGCTAATTCAAAAATTATCTCCGCAATTTCTAAAGCGYATATGAAAATATTTAGGTCCACAACTTCAAAAGCGCTTATGCAATAGAAATATTAACAAAAGCTAATTTTAAAGCGCCAGGTTCAATTTGACAGTTTATAGCTGGCTCCAATTCATGTACAATATATGCACAATACTGCCCACTAGTGGTGTATGAACCCTTGTACAGCTTAATTTACAATCGATGAATGCTGGGGATGTGATTTCCTGAAACAGACCTTTAGTTCCTGGTGTAAAAATTAAAAAGTTGTTGAGGAT